CATAAGTTTTATTACTTTTTGGATGATTTATCTGCTTTTGAAAAGTGAAGTTGGAAGGAGTTTGGGTATAGTGCTTTAACTGATTATATTAGTCAAGCAGGCAAATTTGGGGGGACTTTTATTTGGACTAGTAATAGTCCTACTTCTAATTCTGTTTTTGCTACTAATAGGAATAAGTCTTGGAAGGTGTTGACTTATATTAGTTTTATGGACAAATCTTTATTGTTTGTCCAAGCCAATGATAGTTGGTATAATTTATTGCCCACTTGTATACCGGTGGATAATAAAGAGATAGCAAGTTTTTATGACCCTCATTGGAATATACCTCGGGATTATCAGGAGAATTGATTACGATATATATTTGAGGAGAAGTTGAAGGCTGAAGAGGCGGGGGAAATTCTTAGAGTAATAGAAGAAAGTGGGATGGGGAGTGATGAAGGGGAGTGAATTAAAAATATGAAGTTTAATCGGAATTTATTGTTGCAATATCTCCAAGAACGGAAGAAAGAAGAGAGGGTGGTGAAGAAGAGGTCAAGCCGGATAAAAGAAGTGAAAGCTAAATTGAAGAAGTATGGGTTAAAGACTGAACCTATTTCTGAAAGGGATTTAGAGAGGTGGGATAAAATAGAGAAAGGGAAGAAGAAAGTTAAAGAAAATAAATTACCTGCAATAGAAGAAAAAGACCTAGACCAAGAAAACCAAGAACCGGAAGAAGAAAAACTAACTCCTAAGAGAAATAAAAAAAGAAAATAACTCCTACCTACATACGCAACTAAAATAATATATTATGTATAAGAATCCGCAGAATTTTTTGGAAACATGATATCCAGATAAGCAAACTACAAAATCAATCGACGAATTTGATGGAACAGGTGATTATAAAATAGGATGATCAACATGAATGCGAGGTGAGTTGACTATTAAAGACTACCCTAACTTAGAATTATTAAGCGTTGGGCATGGTCACATAACTAAACTAGAAATCATTAATTGCCCAAAACTAACTCAATTAGGCTGTGAACATAATGAATTAACCAATTTAGACCTCAGCAAACTCAGCCAATCAACTTTGATAATTGCTAATGATAATCAACTAGAAAATATTAAATTGCCCATTACTTCTGAGAAGTTAGTTCATTTAAATATTGTCAACAATAATTTTCCAAAGCAAGATTTAACAGTTTTTAGCCGTTTTATTAATTTGGAAAAGTTATGGATTGGTAACAATGAAGATGGAAAAATCCAATACGGTATTCGTAATCGTTTTACTGGTTCCTTAGAGCCTTTAAAAGATATGGATAAATTGAAAGTACTAGACATTTCTAATACCGATATTGATTCAGGTTTAGAATATTTACCACGTGATATGGATTATCTTGTTTGTTCTGCAAAATGAAATTTTCCAGTAGAATGATTAGAAAAAGAGTTGAAAAAGTTCGGTGAACCCATAAATACTAATTATTCTCATCTTCTTCGTATTTGAAGAATAAATAATGAACAAGAAAAAATGAAAGAGGAAATTAAAAGGTTTAAAGTGGGAAGTTCAAGCTTCCAGAGTAAGGAAACGAAGCAGTTTAAAACAAAGCAAGAACTAGAAGAAATCATTAAGAATAAAAGGTTAGAAATTAGTGAATTAGAACAACAATTAAATAATTTACAAGTTCAAGAAGCTTACGTCCAAGTTCCTCCTAAAAACAACTAATAAAAAGGGGAGTTCATTCTCCCCTTATCAATAAATTCTCTAATTTGGAATTATTTATCAGATAAATTAATGTTTACTCTCTTTTAAATAACTATTGCTCTGTCTTTCCAATTACCCGCAATATCTATGAACCCTACTCAAATAAAATGTCCGAAAATATGAAACCAAAGACTAAATCTAAAATAAAATCAGTAAGTGACATTTGGCTTCCCAAATCCTAAAAAAGATTAAGTGCCTATTTAAAGACTGTTCTAACACAGTTTTAGTTGAGTTTGTAATCCCAGGCTTGACTTTAAGCAAGAGATGAGAGAAATGAAGAAAGGGATATTTAAAAAAATTTGCCTAATAAGCAGGATTGTAAAAAATACTTATTAGACAAGGGGAGAATTTACTCTCCCCATTTTTTAACTATTACTCTTTTAGAAAGAGTTTAGAAATTTGGGCTATTAGTTTCATAATTATACCTCTTTTTCCTCACTATCGTCAATAGAAAGGATAGGACTGTCAGCAACCCGCTCATCCACTTGCGACTCTTCATTCTCTGCTTCTTGTTTTTTTTTATTATTCCTTTTTATACAATAAATAGTAAAACCTATAAATAGTAAAAAAGGAATGCCGAGTCCTAAACCCAGTCCAAGACCAAGTTGGGCATTTTGACAGTTAATTATTTGCTGGACTGCTGGAACACGACTAGAAAAACTAAAAATATTACTATTCGTAGCACTATTCATACAATTGATTCAATTATTACTGGTCCAACAACCATTATCTAAACTGATATCATCAAGGTTATTGGTTGGAGCTTGGTAACAAGCCTTATCATCACAACAAGAAGGAACAGAAAATGTTGATCTCCGAATATTAGTTAATAGTTGTTTAGACTCTAATTCTGATCTTTTTACCATAAAAATTTTAAATTAATTGTTTTAATTGTTTTTAGGAGGAACTTGGATGTGGGCTTGTAACTCTTGCTTTTGAACTTCTTGAACATTAAAGATTTTGCTTTCAAACTCTTGTTCCTGTGCTTGTCAAGCTTCTAATCTCTCTTCCAACTGAGTTAACTCAATTTTCTTGACTAGAAGGTTTTGTAATTCTTCCTCCGTTAGATTATATTTATTTAAGGCTTTTTTATCTCTGGCTAATCGTTTTTGGGCGGATTTATTATTAGCATCATTCATTACCTCGATCTGAGTTTCTAGCATACTTTCTAGTATGTATTGGGCTTCTTCACTGAGTTTCTGATTAGCAGAAGCGAGCAATTGTTCTCGTTCTGGTTTTTTTAATTGAAGAGATAAGTTAGTATTTTCTTGGGTTAGTTGCCGGGTTTTATCTTGCTGGTTATGCAATGCTAATTCCAACTGTGAATTGGTTTTTTCTAGAAGTTGCTTCTCAGTTGATAGTTTATTTAATTCTACCTCTAACTGAACTAACTGAATTTTTTGCTGATAAATTCCCTGATCTTTTTCAGTTTGCTGTTTTTTTAACGCTTGTAACTGAGTTTGCAAATCTTGAATAATTCGATTATTTTTAGTTAACTCCTCCGAAACTTTTTCTGCCAATTCATTGATTGTTAATTGTCTTTTAAAATAAACTTTCATCTTTTGCTGTAAATTAGCAAAATCTTGCCATAGTTGTACGAGTTTAGTAGGATCATGACCAGCTAATTGAGATTTAAGATCAATTAATTCTTGTTCTGGGGTAAGTGCTAGTTCTTCAACAAAAGCTTGATTACCCAACAAATGTGCATTGTTAATTCTTCATTGGGCCAGATCAAATTTATAACCGGATCGTAGTGATAATTCGTTAGAACGAACCAGAGTTTGACTTTTGCTTTCTTTAACGTCAGTTTCTCGGTAGACCATCACTCCTTTATTATTTCAATCAGTCCCAGCAGTAATAAAAAAACTTTTTACACTAGGGGATAAATATTGCAAGCCACTATTAATACCCGTGTTAGCAATGCCTAGTTGTTTGAGTTTCCTTAATCTCCACAATGGTTGTAAGGAACCATGAAAATTGTTGCGGACATAATGAAATGCATATTTTGAATCGTAATTATTACCAACATCCAAATAAACCAAGTTAGCAAACCGGGTTAAAAAAGATAAATGATGAACTTCCACCCCTTCGTTATTAGCCTCAGGGTTAATAGCAAAATTATTATTAGAAAGGTTTAAATTAATTAACTTCTTGGGATAAGGCAAACGGGAGAATAGTTTGGTATCACTAAGTTGATTATAAGAACAATTTAGGTCGCACAGACTACTAAAAAGATCAAGATTTAATTCTCGCAGTTGATTATGGCGACAATGCAATACCTCAATATTCCGTAGATCACCAAAATTTATGCTTTGCAATTGATTATAATTACAATACAATATTCGTAATTTTTTATTTTCACTAAGATCCAGACTAGTTAATTGGTTGTTAGAACAATCTAATTCTTCTAAATTGTAAAAACCTTCTAGTTTTAAATCACCTTCTAAAATTGTTTTTTCCTTAGTTTCTTTAACTCCTAATAAAACATCTTTCAAAAGACTCTTTCTAGGATTTTCCTTAGATTTTTTCTCTTCCTGGTCCTTAAGAACCAACTTCTGAATATTGGCTCGTTGAGGATAATTTATGTATACTTTATCTAGTCATTCTTGGGCGTTTACCATATTTTTATAAATTTTTTGTTGTTGCTTGTTTAAAATTGTTCTTTACAATCACTGCTGCGGCAATCAAGCCAATTTATGCCTAACTAGGAGTGACTGAATTGTAATTATTATACTAGTTAGGCATCTCATGTTGTTTTGACCATAGGCATATAATTAATTTTATTAATGTTACAAACATACACCCTATATATAAAAACTATATTATGAAACTAATCTATATTCGTTCCGCCATGGAACCTAAAAATTATGCCACCATTCGCTCTCTTTTAAAAAAAGAAAGAGGAGAAAAAGTGGCTCCTCATGTTTTTAAATTGGAAAACATTCACTCCCTCCAAACCTATTTAAAAAAAGAAAAGATTACTTACGAGACTTATCAGGAAATTAACGAAGAAACCGAATTCACTCAAGAAGACCAAGAACTAGAAAAAGCCTACAAAGAAATCAGCCAAGACAAAGAAAGAAAAAAATTAACTAAACTAGCCCAAAAAGCGGCTTTAAAAGATTTACAAAAGAGATTATAAATGAATGCTAAAATAATCAAAAGAGGAGAAATTTACTGAGCCGATTTCACCGATGAAGAAGAAAATAGGAAAGATAAAATTAAAATTAGAAAAAGAGCATCACAAAAAGACCGTCCAGTAGTAGTTATTTCCAACGATAAGCAAAATAAATATAGTGCGGATATAATTGTCTCTTTAATTAGTTCCCAATTAGATAAAATTTACTATTTTGAACCGGAAATCTCTTTAAAAAAGAGAAGTAAAATCTTGACTGACCAAATTTTAACCATTGATAAAAGTAGGTTGGGGGAGAGGATTGGTGCTTTGAGTTCGAGTGAAATGTTAAAGTTAGAAAAGGCTTTGCATGTGGTGTTGAGTTTGAGGAGTTATTGTCGGTCAAGATACGGCGGATTTACTTTTGAAACCTGACAACTGTTGCAATTGCTAGCCAAGAAAGAGGGAATTTCTGCTAATCATTTATTAGAAAAGATAATAAAAGAATATGCCGTGAGAAAAGGCGTTAAAAAGTAAGAAATAATCGCTAAAATAACAAGTAATAATTTCTTCGTAAAACGAAGTATTATTAAACTAATTTTGCCGACAACTGAGAAAAATTTTTACAAAATATGACTGAAAGTAATAAAGCGGAAAAAAATATCAAAAAGAAAATCAACTACTGAGAACTTCTTCAAACTTACAAACCCCTCCTCATCATCCCCCTCTTTTT